AGAGGAGAGGAGAGGAGAGGAGAGGAGAGGAGAGGAGAAGCTGGTTGGTTTAGATTGTGATTTTTCTCTAGAGTAGTCATTTACTATACATATGAATACCATGCTTTGTCCTAACATCCCATTAAGCAAGAAGTTGAAGCTACATGGCCATAGCTTATCACCCAACCTCTTGCTTCTTTGGGTGGTGCAGATGTCTTTACTGTTAGAGCTAGAAAGAAACCCACTTCATCCTTAGCTTCCTGATCTGAATAAGGAAGTAGTTGAACTGGATGAGTTTTAGAAAACCCCAAATTTTACAGACCTGTGATTCTACGGGTACACACAAGATAACCCAGAAAGTCTCTGCTTGGACACCCTTGAGCATATTCAATAAGCATTTGTTGATTTGGCGTTGTCTGATCTCATTTAATCTCGCATCATCTGCTTTGAATTTTCAAAAGGATGTGGGTTATTCAGCCTTCTTATCCTTGCTAATTCACCTCCTTCTCTGCACTTACAGAACTTTCTGTAAGTGCAGAGAAGGGAAGGAGGAGGCTCTGTAGGGGCTGCTAAAAGGGACACTTCTCAGAAGAGACACGATGTTTGGGCACTGAGGCATAAGGAAGTTTTCCAAACAGCAAGAGGATGTGGAAAGCCATCTGGGGACAGGAAACAGTGTGTGCGAAAACCCTGGAAAGTTGGGCAGCTGAAGAGACGACCATGAAACCAGAGCTCAGATAAAGTGGAGCCTTGCTGTTTTCATGTGACCACGATGGTGGGTGACCATTTACCAAGATCTTTAGTGAACGTAGCTGTGGAAGGAGCCATCCTGTAGGGAAGCAGAGCTGGGAAACAGAATCCAGTGGGAGGGATTTAGGGTTCCATCAGGAATTCTCCAAGGGATACCACTGGCCTTCATTTACATTCTTGGCTTCTGACGCCTACTGTGACCCCAGTGTGTGAAGCAAAGCCCCCCAAAAATGGTGTTACCACAGAGGGCAGTTGTGACTACTGAGGGCTTATACACCCACTCTTGTTTTGTTTGATTTGGGTTTGGCTTCAGGTTTGGTTTGACAGCTTAGAATTGAGTTTCTGTTGAATTATCATCAAAGGTATGCTCCCAGCCTATGACTCTTTGTCAAGTTATTTATACTAGTAGATTGCACAGGGAGGCAAAAGTTCACGGGCAGAATCAATGAGAAATGGTTTTGACTTGTGAGCAGAATCCTCCAAAGAGGCAGTGGGGAGGTGGTGAGGGCTGCCTCTGCTGGCTTCCTTTATTATCCAACTCACAAGCAGGCCAGTGTTGATGTGTTGCTGTTGTTTTGAAAAGGAAGTGAGTGCATGAACTCGAGCTGCCCTCCATCCTGAGTGAGGCAAGCCTACGCTGAGGCCCTCCTCCTATCACTAAATGCCAGCAACTTGAGACAAACTGCATTTTGACATAAAATAAACTTTAAAAGATAGACATTGAGCAGGATAATGTTTAAAATATTCAACTGACAGCAAGGCCATGGAAAAATATATAAGAGTACATGACAGGGGCAGCCCCATATTCTCAGCAAGACTTGTCATCAGATCATGGCATCTGAATAGAATGCTGCTTTTTAACATTACTCTCCAACAGGAATTCTTTTCTTTGGCAACAAAGCCATTTATATTAGTCTAGTAACAAAGGAGTGGAGCCTGTGTCCCAAGCCAGAAAGGTGGCACATACGCTTCTGTCACTTCTCATTGATTTTGCACGTGAAATTTTTGTGAACCTGTGTAACCTACTTGTACAGAAATTTGAAAAACAGACAAAGGCTGAGGAAAGTGTGTTTGAGGATGATTAAATATGTGCATAAGGCTCTTCTCTCTTATCTTGCCTTCTCATATCTCTTATTCCTTCTTCCTCACAAGGAAGCATTGTCTTTATTTGGGAAGCACTACAGCCTGTAATCTGTTGTTTCCTTTCATTTAAACACGTATCTTCCTACTTTCTCAAAGACAAAAAACTATGTCTAATTTCCTTCAGTTGGTTGCTTGCCCTCAAAATAATCCATTCACACAAAAGCACTTGTGAGCAATATATAATTTACTGAACTTGCACAGAGCCCACAGAAGGCTTGTGTTGCCCCAGCCAACTGCAAGTTGAGCACATCTCTCTGGAGCTGTGACTTCTCCACGGCGGGGTAGGAGCTGAGTCTTTCTTTCCCTTCCTTCACCCTTTTCTCCCTCTGCAGATCTTTCTGTTCTACATCTAGTCTTTCTTTGGCTGCCCAAATCCTCTCCAATGTGTGCTCAGGCAGGCTGCTTTTTCAGTCTTTATCTCAAAGTGAGCCTCGCAGGTCACTGATATTGCCTGGCAGGATGAACTTCCCCCTGCTGCTTAGGACCCTGCCTGTTGAGGAACAAGAGATCCTAAGTACTCAAATACTATCTTCTCTTATTCTGGACATTTAAAATGCATCTTATTAGTTCTTATCTGCTACCTACCATGACATCTCATTCAACAGAGATTTGAAATTGGTATCATAAACACAGCCCCTTGTGATAGCTAAGTGGGATGAGGACATGCTATTGTCCGTGACCTTGATATTCACTGCCATGCTTGGAACACTATGATCATTTCTTTCTTTTTTTTTTTTTTAATCAGGAGAGAGCGCGAACGCAGTCCCCCACTACCACAAATTATGCAGTCGAGTTTCCCGCATTTGGGGAAATTGCAGGGGTCAGCACATCCGGAGTGCAATGGATAAGCCTCGCCCTGGGAAAACCACCTTCGTGATCCTGGTGTCTCCCCTGCCAGGTAGGTATACTATGATCATTTCTGATGGCCTCCATTGCATTGCTGGGCACAGGTGCTGCAGGCATCTTGTCTGGGCTTTTAAGCCAATCTCTGGACTCCCTTCTGGCTATGCCAAACTCAGGAGCCTTTCAGGCCATTGAGGAACAGAAGGAATTCTGCCGTGAGAGCCCAAGGCTGGGAGGTTCCTGCTTCCCACCACCACCCCACCACCACCACAGGCAATTGCTTTTGAGAGCATGCCTACTTTCTTATAAATAAATTTTGGGTTCCAGAAAAAAACAAAAGTATTTGAGTTAAAGAAGCATGACTGGCTCTCTGGCTTCTTTCCTCCATAGATCGTCTGGTCTCGTTGCTTTGCAAATAGCTTCAGCTCACAGTGTTCATTTATCCTTCTCTTCCATTCATTTGAAAATACTTTCTTAATACTTGCTGCTCGGGGCATTGCCTGGGTCTCCGGGATGCCTCAGGGAGCACTGCCCTGATTCCTCCAGGACTGCTCAGTCTGGCCATGTATGAGAAATGAAGAGCTGGGATTGTTTTTCTGCAAGCAAAAATAATAATGACTGTGACAGTGCCAATGATTATGAGGATGCTGATATTTATTTACTGCTTACCCAGTGCCAGAAGCCACGTAGAACAACTGACCCAGAATTTCTATTTGGCTCTCCCCACAACCCCACAAGCGAGACATTGTTCATCATATTCCCATCATATCACTGAGGTCCTCCACCTGGGATTACGTCCAGGACTGAATCAAGGTCTCTGCAGCACCACAATGCCTCCTGCTAATGCTGAGGAGTCACACATGGCCTTGTGTGGTCAAGAAAGCCTAGGGTTCTGCCAGCTAGGAGACGGGGGTCCCTTGCCCTTGCCTGGGGTGGTCATGGAAGACTTCAAAGAGGAGGTGGTAAACCGCTTGGCATAAAGTCAGAGTGCTCTCTGGCAGTCTAAATAACCCTGGGGAAGAAGACCACATCCAAAGGCCTTGATGCAGAGATAGGCAAAAGGCTTCCTTTTGGCAAAGTAGCAAAGAGAAATAGTTGTGGAAAGATCTTGTGGTAATGAGGATATTTGATAAGACTTGTTAGGAAGGAAGACTGGCTGGAAAACAGTTCAGATCTGGTAATAGAAGGCTCCAAATGTACATGCACAGTGGCACCTACTATCTGTATCAATCTATGAAAATGTGCATGAGAGCATTTCCTGCTCACTGGGCTGTCTGGTGGTGACACAGGCTCCATAAGCACAGGACCATGGCTCTGGCCATTAATCAGTTTAGCGTCAGCACCAGCCCTTCCCTCTCCACCCACAGAGTGGCAACTTCTGCAGGATGCTCTGGCCACCCAACCTACCTGCCCCAGCCAGGAAGGTGTGCACACATATCTGTTTGGTTGCTCAGTAAAGAGCCATCTGGGGCAACGTCCAGTGCTGTATCTGGGTTGTCAGGGTGTCAGAGCATGGACTCACTCCCAGGAGATGAGTCAGCTGCTTGCCGAATTCTTGAGGGTTTTGTGACAGGCAGCTGTTGGGGCTGCAGACTGCCAGCTCAGGGCAGCCTTGCACTTTTGAGGAGACAGAGCATTCTCTGTCACACATGGCCAGCTGTGGGCCTGCAGCATGTGCCTGCTGCTGATCAGAGCAGCTGAACAAAGCCTCCTGTCCTGTGTGGAATGTGGGGAGTTGCTCCTCTCTATGTCCCTGTTTGCTCTGCAGCAATTAGCTTGTTATTCCAAAAAAATACAAAGAATCAGAAACAAGAGCCATCCTTGCCTGGTGCGAGTGGAAATAAGCTACCTGCCTCACTCCTTGCAATGGAGTTGAGATAAAAAACTCAAAGTATAGGTATCATTCTCAAGGACTGTGTTCCAGATAGGCTCTGCTAAGCAAGTGTGGTGGTACAGGACTGTCATCCCACACTCTGGGAGGCTGAGGCAGGAGGACTGCAAGCTTGAGCCCAGCCTGGGCAACTCAGTGACTTAGCAAGTCTTTTTCAAAATAAAAAAAAAATAAAATAAAATAAAATAAAAGAGTTTTGGGTGTAGATCAGGGCAAAGGCCGTAGTTTTGAAGTTCAGTACTGTAAAACGAAACAAAATAAAACACTGTGCTCTCAATGGTTTACATTGTTTAGATCTAACCCTTTGGCCTGAAACTCATTACTAATAAAATTGGATGTAGAAGGATACCAGTATGATTCTTCTGATTTATTATAGCTAACCCAATCAGGAAAAGGACAGTCTATGGAACACATTTTTAGACTAAGAACTATGGAAGGAAGAAAACCAAGTTGGATATTTGTACATCTTTTAAACCCTTAATTTCAAAATTGCAGACTCAGTGAGGTGACAAGAGAGGAGAACTACGAATGATAGCCACATGGGAAACACCGGAACAAGGGTCAGCAGCCACGGTGCAGTGCTGCCTCGGTGGGGGGATCCCCAAGCAGCCCTGGGACCCAGCCCTCACGGATGCCTTGCCACTTGTTCCATGGACTCTGGTCTTCTGCCATTTGTCCTTCCAAATGGAAAGCTCTGCTCTTTCAAAAAACAAAAAAAAAAAAAAGTCCCCTGAACGAGTCTTTCCTTGCTCACATTGCTCTGCACTCCTGCACCCCCAGTCTCTGCACTGTTCAAGTCTTCTTCATCTGGGTTCAATTCAGAACGTTTTCCTGTTCCAATTTCAGTCCTCTCCCCCACCTACATGACCCCTGTGCCATGCGTTAAATCTTGGCTCACTATTGGAAGCCATGTTGTCATAATTTGGGGGTCCAAGAAGGTCCTCCCGAAAGGAGATGGGTGCCACCAACTCATTTCCACCAGGGGCATAGGTCATGGGAAAAATTTCAGGACCCTTCAGTGAGAAATCTCATCAGACTTACTACACAGGAAAAAAAAAATCAGAAGGCAAGGGTAAGCTGACTGAGGCTGGCACTTCTGATCTCTAGTTTTCAAGGCTGATTGCTTTTCAGACGTGACTTATATTTTGGAAAACTTATAGCAGAATAAAGGCACAGACCAAATTTGTAGTTCATTTTGTCTTGAAGAATCTTAGGAAATTTTTTGGGTTGGGTTTCCTACAAAGAGAAGAAAATAGGCATTGTAATTTTGAGTAACATTGTGTTCTGAAACTATAGTTTTCTTGGTTTGTTTGTTTGTTTGTTTGTTTGGGGGTTTTTTGTTTGTTTGTAAAGGGGATCTTGGTTTGTTTGTTTTGTTTTGTTTTGTTTGTAAAGCTGATTTTTTTTTTTCGGTACCAGGGGTTGAACTCAGGCCTTTGCCCTTGCCAGGCAAGCGCTTATTCTAGAGAGCCATCTCCCCAGCCCTACAGTTTTCTTAAAAGTGCAATTTTTAAAATAATAATTTCCCTTGTCCCCTTTCCACCTATCGTTAGTTCCTCTGTCTTATCTCAGTATGACTCAGGACAGAAGGATCAACAGGCCTACCTCTAACTCAGTTCAAGTGGCTCCTGATATGTCATAAGAGAGAAGTTATATTGCATCTCTGAAATCTTTTTCTTCCTCTGGAAAAGGGGGTAACCATATTTACTTTGCTGTATTGTCTTAGTTCCATTCATAGCTACTGGGCCAAAATGTCCAACACACAATTGAAAGCAAGAGAGCTTTATTTTGACTCACATTTTCTAGAGGTTCAGTTTATGCTTAACTGCCTTCAGAGAAGGAAGGCGCAGTGAAGGGCCCTCCGGAGGGGAGCTGCTCACCTTCTGTAAGCCAGGAGGCAAAGAGAAGAAAGGAGCCAGGGAGGTAGGAAACCCTTCTAGTCGCCTCTTCTGCCCAAGGCCTGGCCTTCCAGTAGCACCTTTACCCAAGGTGCAGTGCTCTTCTGCTTACAAGAGCATGAGGCTCTTGTATGTATACAGGAGGGAGGTCTAGTTATAAACTATGACATGGATATAGTGACCTCTAAGTAGGACAACCTACATGAAGACCCTAATAGAGAGAGGCTTGCAGTATGTGATGGTTTCTATGTCTCTTTTCTTTTTAGGTAACTTCATTATTTTGATATTATTAAGATAATTTCATCATTACGGTAATTTTTGGCCTTACCTCTTTTCCTGAACTACTGCTCTGGAGGCTTTCTGAGTATAAGAAATGTGCCTTTTGGGACTTCAGTAGTTTACTGTGGAAAATCCCTACAGAAGTTTACTGTGAAAAAGACACTGAAAGTGCCACAGCTGAGCATGGTGGTACAGACCTGTGGTTCCAGCCCTCTGGGAGGCTGAGGCAGGAGTAGCGGAAGTTCAAGCCCAATGCTGACAACTTGGCTACTTAGTGACACCCAAATGAAAAATAGAAAAAAGGTGAGAGATGTAACTCAGTGTGGAGATCCTGGGCTTGCTCTTCAGAATGACAAATACGGTGGGGAGGGGAGGTAAACATGCCACACACACTGAAGGGACGCAGCATGTCACCATTCCAAGTAGTGCTCTGAGGCAGAAAGGGAAGAGAAGTTTAAAGTTCTAAGGATAGCCAGCCTCCCCTAATGACAGAGTGCTAGGTCAAAGAAAAATGTCTGCTTTTCTCACCCACACAAAATACAAACATGGCCACTACTTGAATCAGCACCTTGGCTCTTGCATTGGGTACATTTCATGATGATGGGCGTCCTTCTAAAAGAGTCCCGGTGACCCACTGTAAGGCAGCATCCAACGTCCCATGTGCTCATTCCCTCTCCTCATAGCACACAGACGCATGAGGCCGAAACCTGCCATCCAACTGCATTCCATGGTGGTCATCATGCTGTGGTGGAGAGGTCTCTGCAAGTGTCCTCCCTGAGTCTGAGGGAGACTCTGTGGCCTCCTCATCCATCAGGCTGTGGGGTCTACATGGCCACTCCCCCAATGTCGTCTGCAACTTGTTCCAGTTTACCTGAACTTTGTCCACGTTTTGTATAGCTGGAGGCTTCTGTTCTGTTTTGTTTTTGAGAAAAGGTCCCCCTGTGTAGTTAAGGCTGGCCTTGAACTCACTTTGTAGCCCAGCCTGGCCTCAAACTCACAGAGATCCTTGTGCCTCAGCCTCCTGACTTCTGGGATTACAAATAGGTGCCACCACCAGGCTTTTTTTTTTTTTTTTTTTTTTTTTTTTTTTTTTTAAGACAAGGCATGTGGCCCTAGATTTGTGGATAAGCCAGAAAGAAGAAGAAAAATCCCTGTTAAGAGTCATCAGCCAAGTCATAATAGTTGATGTACCTTCATTTCTTTGAGACAGATTTTTGAACAGCAATTCTTTAGAAAAAAGGCAGGAAGGAAAACTAGCAAGGTGAAGTTAATATTTTCCAGGGAAAAGAAAAAGGGACAGAAAATAATTGGAATACAAACTGCTCTTCTGTGAACTTGCTTCTGCTAGGGTTGTCAATGTCTTTTAAGATTAGCTACTTTTGACATGATCTCAGGACATACAAAGATAGGGTCCAACTTGAGACTAGGTGGGGGCCTCAAGAGGTCTGAGAAGAGCCCAGAAGCCAGTGCCTGTTGAGCTCAGGAGGGTACCTTGATCTCCCTGAGCACTTTCCTGTGTCATGCAGACTCTAAAGGGGGGTGTTTGCCTTTGACTTTTTTCCATGATTTCATTGAGAGACAAATAGCAATGAGACAGTTTCAACTGAAATTGGTATGACAGTTTCCATAATTAACATATTGCATACTCTCTTCCTAGTGGTTATTTGCTGTACAAGAAGCAGACATAATATCCTATTTACAAACACTATTAGAACAAAGCCCTCTACTCATTAAGAGAATGTAACTATATATCTATCCTAACAATTTTGAATACACAGATACAAAATGGACATTCATCTGTATCCCCTATTTGTTTAGTTCTGTCATTTGAATATCATCGGTTCTGGCAGAAAAGGTAAGTGGGTCCCTGGCACAGCAGTGCCTCCCCCAGTGCACAAGCTCCACCCTTTGTAAATTTCAGTGTCCTGGACTAAGATGCTAAAGGGGAGGAGAAGCAGAATACAATGGGAAGAAGCTTCACAGTTGTCCCTTAAGTGACAAAGTGTGATTAAAACACAGTGAATGCTAACTATGGAAAAAACCATTTCACAGTGAAAGAAGAATTGCCCTGAGTCTTGGTGAAAATCTTCCCCATTTCCTTGAAATAGACTTTATTTTAATTTGAAATTCCAGGCAAAATTGAGCCAAAAATGTAGAATTTCTCACCTTCCTCCTTCCACACAGGCATGGTCTCCCCACATAACTAGTCCCTCATGAATGCTCTAGTGATGAGAGTATTGTGGGAAGGCCAGCCAAGCTTTCAGGCCACGTCACCCTCACTAACACAGGTCACTTGGTACGTGGCAGGAAGCACTGTGCTCTCCTCCTCTGTACTGAACACCTTCCCACTGCTAGACATGTGTATTTGAAAGGAGGAGACCTCTACCTGGCTCACAATTTCAAGGCTCACAATTTCCACGTGTTCAGTCTGTGGTCAGCTAGCTCTAAGGTGGGACTGACATGGCAGAAGGGTGTGGTGGGAGACAGCTGCTCAGCTCAGGGTGTCCAGGAAAGAGTGAGAACAGACAGGGAGGGAGGGAGAGAAAAGAGAGAAATCCAGAGAAAGAGAGAGAAAGAGAGAGAGAGAGAGAGAGAGAGAGAGAGAGAGAGAGAGGCCAAATGTAGTGATTCCTCCATTCCACTATCAGAATAACAAAAGATAAAAACTAAATGTCTGCAAAGGTACAAAGAAAAACCTTTGCACATAGTAGGAAGAAATGTAAATTAGTGCAACTATACAAATAAGTAGGGCTGAGCTGTAAAAGGCTCAAGTCAATAAGTTCAGAAAAATTATATTTGTGCTGGTAACTCACTGTTATTTTGGACTATTGGAGTATATTGGGTTATTTTGCTGAATTCAAGTACCTACAATATTTGGACTGGCATCAAGTATGAAAAGGTCCTGTAAAGACTTCTCCAAATACAGTTACTCTAACTGCAATGGAACACCCACCTCTGACAAAACAAAACAAAAAAGGGTGATATAAGTAAAGGACCTTTTTGTAGTGAGATATATATACAAAAATGGTTAGGCTA